ATTTGTTAATCCTATGTATTGAGAACTTGACATCTAACATGTGTTACCCACAGTTGAACACCAAATGAGATAGATTGCGATCCAAGTCTCTTGGTCAAGAGGATATCTGTAACAAAGGTATAACTTGTAAATTTACCTTATACATCAATGTATCTGTGAGCTTTTTGGAATTGGATATTGATGAATGACATTCTTCGTCGTGTGTTATTGGGGGCAGTGAAATAGTGTTAAACATTCACCACTCTTTATATCAATCTATGATGAGTCTTGTGTAAGTAGGACATTGCAAGATATGTATGCCTAAGAGTCATTAAAAATTGATATTTGCTAATGATATATGATCATATAGGATCACACCTTATAGCAAGTTACTACTAATAGATTATGTATTAGAATAATCTTGATTATTGATAAATATCAAAATTTGTATTTAATTTGAAAAACATTATTTTATGAAAATAATATTTTACCAACATATTGGAATTATTGTTTCTAGAAAATAATAATAAAAGAGAAAAAAACTAGTTATATTTATAAGGTATGAATATAAATGTTATGTACAACGTTTGGGGCATTTTGAGTAGCCACTTAGTTAGGGATGTCACTACCAAGTTATGAGATGTAGTGTGTAAAAATTTTGGTCTTGACTTTTGTTACCAAAACCATAGGTGCATACAATAATAATAATATTGATTGTGGTATGCCATTTAAGCTCCATATGTGTCCTTTGAGGCCATTCTTTGAGTAATTAGATGGTATGGTCCCCCCTCACATTTTTCGAATTATATAACAAATTATATGAGGCAAAAACTAGGGAGATTTTCCACTTCTTTTCTTCTCTATTTCGGCTGTCATTTTTGGTTGGATAGCCTCTTTCCATTTCCTTCTTTCTTTCAATTTCATGTTATATTTGAAGGTTCATAAGTTACTTTTCTTGAGGCTTATTTGGTATAAGTTTTAATGGCTTAAGAACAACTTAATAAAAGTGAAGACTAGCATGTTTTGGTGGTTGATCCTTACTTTGGTGGATACATTATAGAGAGCTTCTCCTTTGGAGCTTCAAGCATCACTTTATCAACTTCCATCTCCCATGAGAATCAAAATTATCAAAGGTTGTAACACTTTTCCTTCTGTGGTTGATTTAATCTTTCTATGCTTTGCAAAATGATCGTTGGTGAGTTAAAAAGAGTTTTAAGTTTATTCTATTGTTAGAATCATGTTTCAGTTTTTAGCGTTAGACCCATTATCAATATTTAAGAAATTAGGACAAGATGCATCAAGAGTTTGGTCAAAAGAAAAAGTGTTAACATCACCAAAAAGACCTAGTAATGGATATGAAAAAATGTCGTCATGAAGCACATCATTACCATAATTGAAGTTCCGTAACGTAAACGTTTTGAACCAAATCCAACAAGAGAAATAGGGGAACCAACAAGAATTTTAGATGCTAATGACGAAGTACCAATAGGAAAAACCTTATCTATAACTAGATCTCAATGATTAATTAAACCCGGCAACTACGTTTTAAGATTGAAAGGACTCTTTTCTCCACCTACAACCATAAATACAACATCATTAAGACAAAGCATTTAATGGCAACACCTATACCTATTATATCACGTAACAAGAAAATGAGCCAAAAAAGGATGTGCGTTCCAATATAGGCTCATGCAGCAACGAGCTAAAACAATTTCAGGGAAATGACATCTCTTAATACAATCGTGTCTAAAATGACAAAGAAAAACATGCAGACAAGGACTTAACTCTGGTTCATCATCAACAAATGGTTCTGAATGAAGAAAAGACAACATATGTATCAACCCAACAAAACCTAATCTTCCACCTACTATTTGTACCAAGAAGATCATCAATAAGAGGGAAATTTTGATACACAAAAGAAAACCATCATGATACTTTTCAAATGGTAAAAATACTAAAACAACAAAATGTCCAGAGGAATACCAAAAGCCACGCAGAATAATCTGAAAGAAGTATTATTTAACATAACATTAGGGGAGAGTTACGCCAAATGAGCATTATAATACGCTAAAACTTCTACGAAGAATGAAGTAGGATGGAGTCTTAAGCCATAATCTAAATTTCATAGGTAAAATCCAATTGTACCTATGGGAGGTTCAACAATCAAAGTAGAAGATAAAGGTAACTCAACACCATGAGCAACAAACAAATGATAGTCAACAATATATTTTCCCAACATGCAGACATTAACTTCATATCAAAATGACGACATTCGCACGACCATATGGGAAAGTTAAAAAGATATTGTGACAAGTTCGTTGCCTAAACAACCATATCCCATGGTTAAAAATGGGGGCCTACAAGCATTAAATGCCATAAATGTGGAGGATATGGATGAGAATGATAGAGATTACAATCAATAAATGTCATTTAATCAAAGACGACTTTCCTAGCAACATGGAAATTAAGTCCAAATAATAAAAATTGGATACCTACTTTTTATCCTTTCAACACGTATGTGTATGTGTGTGTGGGTGGGTGGGGGGTTGTTAATGATGTATCTGACGATATCATCATAATCATACCGACCCAGTACTACCTATTCGGGGTAAAATTCCGCTCGATAATCTCGACCAACCAAGCAACAACAAGCTCAATGAAATATACACCAGTCAGACTTTTGCCCAACATATCCCCAAAAATGCACGCTATTAAAAAGAAGCGTACATATGTGAAACATAAAATAAATATAATAGTATAAAGTACAATCTTATATTTAATAAAAAAAAAAAAAAAAAAAAAAAAAAAAAAAAAAAAACACCACGACACACTGAGGACACACCGAGTAAAGGAAGGTAACTAGCCTTAAAGCCTATAAAAAATAAAAAATAAAAAAAAAAAAAATAATAAAAAAATAAAAAAAAAAAAAAAGGTCATAAGGTAGGAATAGTCTCTTTTTTCTCCCGTTGATAGCTTACATCAACAAGCAATATTGCTTTAACTTAAGCATAGAAGATCAATACCAATGGGGCAAAACCAATATAGCTCTTGACGCTTTGTTTATATATGTCAATAGGTCGAATATAGGAGCACGCCAGTTTTCAGATAACATACTATCAAAGAAGTGATGTATCATCAATATAAAAACCGAATGTGATTCTATAATTAGTAGTATTTGTAAGATATTAGTTTTATTTAATGTTACTTATAAGTATTTCTAATTTATAAAATATTATATAGGCTTAAATATAATGAATGGTTATAAAATATTCATAAATATCACGATAAATTAGTTTATTTCCAAAATAAACATTTTTAAAAATAATTAATTATTAGATAATATTGAAGTTAATTATATTTTATTCAATATAATTATTGAAAATATGATAAGACAATAAGAAAAAATATATTCATAAAATTGATAGATGCGTTAGGCAACTAGGAGTAATAATAAATGAGGTGTCTGCGATGAACATCACACTGCTTCATGTGGTGTGTTGACCCTTTCTGCATAAGACCATTTTATGGTGCATGTTTCTCTTTTCTTTATTTCTATATATTTCTTGATCTAGTACACTTAAAACTCATTATTGTATATATTAGAGGAGTCATATATAACTATTTCCTATCTGAGAGGGTGAAAAGAAAATAATATGGTGATATGTGGCAAACAAAAAGAATGTTGTGTGAGGATATATGTTTAAAATTTCATAACTAGCTTAGCTAAATATATTTTATGATTTTTTTTTTCATAACAGGTAAATTAAAACGTAACTCATAACCTTATTTTTTTTTTAAAATACTTAGAATAGCATTTTAACTAACATTTTAACGACTTTATTATATATTTTTTTATATTCTCTTGAATATATCTTTTAATAATAAAACAAAATTCAATTTTTTACATACTTTGTATATCATTTTATATATTAAATATATTATCAATTTTAATAGACAATTTCTGTATGACTTATATGAACCTTTCAATTGTTGTGTACCCCTTGGCTTCCTCTTAGTGTTTATATATCCCATTTGATGAATGAGTAATACTTATTGCACAACCCTTTAATATTATATCATATGTTATCATTAGCTAGCAAATAGCTTTACGAGTTATCCCTTTACTCCCTCAACTATAACCATTAAAGTGTTCCATGTCAGATAATAACTAGTAGACCACCTTAATCATTTAAAAAAAAATGCTATTATAATGTTACCAGTCAAAATATTTTAGACTTCTTGTACAACATATTTTTGAGTATAATTATTTCTTAAGAGAATAATCTTTTTTCAATATAAAGTAAATTGTATCTCAATAAACATTTAAAACCACATGGTTTCATGATGTTAACACCTTTTAAATTTGATTAAAATTCTTTGAAAGGCGACATTTTACTAGAAATGCTTTTACGATATTGAAGAGTTCAAAAGCAGGAACACTTGTTTTAAAATGTGCCTCCGTATTTTTCTTTTTCTTTTTTGTAAAAATGGCCAAGTTAAGACTTAAAATTACCGGTCCAACCGGTGCCCCACAAAAAAAGATGGACCCGATAATGACTCAAAACCGGGACAGCTTAAAAGCCTGTGTGCGTAGGTCCGATTCCGTCGCTATGCTTTAGGTGGCTTTTGTGGTCTTGATGAAGAACATGGTTTCATAATATGGATTATAGAACAATAGATTAAACAAATCAAGAAAATTGAAGAAGATTTTCCTTTCATTAATTATATTACACTAATTGATTTTGAGCACCGGATGATCAATCATACAACAATACTAATGAAACCTAACAATTGAATCTCTACCAAATAAAGCAGAACAATTCCAACGGGAGAATTTCAGATGATACTCGATCAATCAATCTATCTCATCTCCAAGCAGATGATTAAATTCAATAATTAATTTCCACGAGAGATGATAGAAACAAGAGATCGAGCGTTGATCTCCTAAGTTTATAAAAGTTTTCGATCAAAGAAATCAAATTTGGCAAACATATGTAAAAATTTGTGGATAATAATTTAATTTAAATTCTAACAATTTTTGCCGCTTTGACCACCGGATTGTCCCTCGCGATCGCCTCCCGACCGGCGGTCTTATAATCATAGGTGCAGTCATGACGGTCGGAGTAGCGGTGCTCCGCGCAGAATAGATCGCCACAACGGCACCGGAATCCGGTCAAACCTACCCTCTTCCGGCAACCGGAGCACCGATTTACAACCTTAGCCGTCGTTTTCTCCTTTGGTTGTTCATCAACCATCAAAACCGTCCGATCTACAACCAGATCAACCGATACATCGCGAGACGTTGACCTCGTCGGAGACCTCAAGGAGCCAGATCTACCACGAGTACTTCGTTGCGTTGACGTGGTTGAACTGGAGGTTGTGGTGGCGTTAAAGCACTTTTGACACATATTGTTTGTCGCCGGATTTCCAACGACGCCGCAGTTATTGATGCAGAGAGTCAAGGTTTCAGGTACAGCCTTGAATTCCGTCTCTTCTTTCTCAGTCCTCTGAGCCATCTTCAAACAGAAACCTTTAAAACAATCACAAATTTGGACAACGAAAACAATTCAATCACCCTGAGAAGCGATCGGCGTTGGAGAGATGAAAATTTTCAGTTGTCGTTGATTATTCGAAATGGAAATTTTGGGTTGGCGAGAGAAATGGAGGGGAGGGGGGAGGTTTATTAAGGGAAGGGGGAAAAGGGCTAATGGTTATCGCAAGGGACGCGTTATCATCATGCAAATTGTGACGTGAAATTACCATTTCACCCTCCAGGCATTTCATAAATTTCATAAACGGTGGGGTCAGGGTCAAGGGCAGTAGGATTACTACGTCTGACGTGTTTATTACTCCATCAGGGCCCAATTTCGCCCGTGACAAAAAGCTTTGAAAATTTTAAAATAAAAACTTGTAAGCATATGTCTTTTTAATGTTTCAAACAAGTAAATTATAATATATGTTTTTATAACGTTATGCATTAAAAACTTAAAATAACCTCTAAGTTTAATCAAGAGCTTTATTTTGAAGAAGTTTTTTAATGCTTTTATCGTTGGAGTGAAAAAGTCTTTGATTTTTCTGAAGAAAAGCCTGTTAGAACCCGTCCTTATGGAAAATGTTCTATCCTTAGTGATTATTTTACAATTAAATGTCAAACCTGATCATTTGTTCATTAATCATTAGAGTCCATTAATTATAATGAGAAATTAAATATCATTTTGTTCCAACATCTTTTTATTTGTATAAAATAATTATATGTGAAATTTATTAATTGCTTTATTTTTTTTTAGTTTTAATTTTTATTTTGACAATTGTCTTAATATGGTGAGTAGATAGATGAATAAAAACAAAAATTAAGATGATATATTTAATTTCACAAACAAAAACAATAATATGTCTTTGAACCGGATTCGCAACTATTTTGTTGCCTATGATCGCGACGCAACCAGGAGCTTGGTCACGGTGCATTGACCCGTTGACTGTTAACTTTAACAGTTAACCGTTGACCATTGGTTTTTGATCAATTTGAGTTTAGGTCAAACTTTGGTGGATTAAAGTTTTTTTGGGCTAAGGGTTGACCTCCGATTAGTATTGGTCATTTATTTGCACCTAATGATGATTTTGGTGATTTGTGTAGTTGTAACATCCGTTTCCCAGGTACTTTTCATTCATAGCTCAAATATAATTTTTTCTTACAAAAATGATCCCTACGCACGGCATAAGTAATGAATTACGTAGGGCGTAAGTCATTAAATGGACACCGGGACTTTATGTTCTATGCAGGGCATACAATCCTTATGCAGGGCGTAGTTACTCATAACCTAAACCCTGATTTTTTAGGGTTGGGACCCTGTTTAAAGACCTTAGATCCCTTGAGGCCTCCCTTATCATCAGCCTCCACTCTACCAAGTTTTCATTTCAAAACACTAATCCCTTATGAGCTTGTTTGAGACCTTTTGTGTGTTCTTGATGCATATTGAAGAAGAAGTAGTAGCCTACCATTGCACATTGGTGTTGCTCAAGCTTGAAGATCCGGAGCTTTCATTTCTTTTGCAAACTTCTGGAGGTATAAAGCATTAAAATTTATGCTTCAATGGTTTAGATCTAGGTTAGATTCTTGGTTTGCAAGCTTTTAGTCCCCCGGTTTTGGTTCTTGTGAGTAAAAGCTAATCCAAAGCTTAAGGTTGTCGTTTTATATTCTTTTTGAGGATCATATGTCATAAAATGAAATCTTTGTTGCTATCTTTCACCTATGCAAGGGTTTGAGATCATTAAAGGGTGGAATGGACCTAAGGTTTGGTTTTTAGCTCTATTAAGCCATGCAAGGCATAAAGTCATGAATTTTATCCTTTTAGACGCCTAGTAGGTTCAAATCTGAGTGTTGAATGTTTGGTCTTAAGACATCAAGGGGCTAATATGGGAGTTCGAAAACTACAATGCTATGTAGCGCGTAAACATGGCTATGCAACGCATAGCCTGGTTAGGTGTGACATCCCCATTTTCACAGCCAGAAAAGACCAATTTTGTTTATACTTTATAAAAATCAGAGTATCTCTTTTAATAAAAAACGTAGCGGAATTTGTTCCCAGAAAAAAAAAAAACATGATAATTTCATTTCAAAGCATTTCCAAAGAAATGTATTTTTATTCATTTTAAAATATTTGGGATGTCATCGTCAATACAGAAACATTAGCATAAATAGAACTTACATTCATTTACACTAGTGATCTATATCTCCTTAATCTCTCATTGTAATGTAACTTCACATCGTCACCTGTGATACAAGTAAACTGAGTAGGTCAGGTTGGGAAACCTAGTGAGTACTAGGGTTTTCAACCCACAATAATATAATTATTATGTTTAATCATCAAACAGTTAACCCAATTACCCATCCCCAATATCTTCTTTATTCCTAAGTACCTTCCCTAAGGATTTATCCTAAGGGTCATCTCTTACATCATATTTACTTCTCATCTCCTTACATCGCATTTCCCTATATGTTTGTTCCTAAGGATTCTCCTTAAGGATCATCGCCTACATGGCATATACAATATTGATTCAGTGATTACTCCCTCAATACGTGCCCAACAAGGGTTAGTGTGACATCCCCATTTTCACGGCTAGAATAGTGTGACATCTCCATTTTCACGGCTAGAAAAGACCGATTTGTTTATGCTTTGTTTTTAAAATCAAAGTAATCTTTTAAAGAAAACGGTTGCAGAATTTGTTCCCAAAACAGAATATGATAAAAATTATCAAAGCATTTCTTTAAAGAAATGTATTTTCATTTTATAACAAAATCTCAGGATGTCATGTTAAATACAGACCAAAAGCATAAACAGAACAAAATAGACCTTACAATAGTTATTCATAACTACTGCCCTATAATCCAAAATCTCTCATTAAGTCCACCAACATTATATAATCTTGTGCCATTACCTGTAATGCAAAGAAGACTTAGTGGGTTAGGCTTGGGAGCCTGGTGAGCATATAGGGTTTTCATCCCACAATGTTATATCATATATTTATAAATATAGAACATTCAAACTTGTACAATTTCACCATATAAAGGCAACTCTTATCCCACCCCATCGATCCTCACAATGACACGATCTAAACTCTCGTATCTAAAATTTTCCTCTTTACCTGATCCCTACTCACGGATCTAAAACTATCCTCTTCACCGATCCATAATCACGGATCTAAAACTAACCTTTTTTTTACCTGATCCATACTCACGGATCTAAAACTACCTGATCCATACTCACGGATCTAAAACTAACCTCCTGATCTAATCCATACTCCCGGATCAATAATTGTACCCAATCCATACTCCCGGAATAAGGATAATTAACTATACCCTAATCCTGATATGATCCATACTCCCGGATCAATAATTGTGCCCAATCAATACTCCCGAACTAGGGATAATTAAATTAGTCTTAATCCATACTCCCGGACTAATAACAAGTTTTATCTCTTTACCTGATCCATTGAAACATCCCAAAATACAACTCAAAATTTTTTTTTTATATATATATATATAATAAAATCATATGCTGAACGTCATATCATACATCCATACATCAAATATCTCAAACCATAATAAAATGTCGTGATACAATTGTATCAAATCAAACTAAGTATCAAAACAATCTCCCAGGACAAAAACTGAAGTTGTGGTGTGTGTGATGCCATCAACCCGAGCTCTTCCCTTTGCTTGCGGAAGTACCTGAAACCAAAACTGAAACTGTAAGCACGAAGTTAAGTGAGCTCCCCCAAATTACAACATACCATACAAACATAAAACAACTACTGGGCCTTGCCCACTGCATCGGACCGAAGTCCGGAAACTAACCAGGGCCTTGTCCTCTGCATCGGACTGAAGTCCGGAACTACTGAGGCCTTGCCTCCTGCATCGGACCAAAATCCGAAACTAACTGCATCGGACTGAAGTCTGGAACTGACTGCATGGGACCGCAGTCCGGAACTGACTGCATTGGACAGAAGTTCGGAACTATTGAACATAGCATAGCATAAACATATCAACTAACACAACAACACATAACACACAACCCTGTCTGAGCCACGAAGGCGTCAAACATACTAACTACTGCATCGGACCGAGGTCCGGAAACTACTGCTAGCTAAACGGGCCGGCATTGTGGCCTTAGACCCATTCCTACTGGAAGGAAACTCACCTCGTGAACTGGCTGCTGAGTGTATGGCTCTGGAAGCTATCTGTTGCTGCTCCGGTATCTCCCCGGCTACAATTCCACAAACACACTCAATCAAATACTAATAACTGCATTGGGGTAAAATGACTCTTTTACCCCTGGCTAAAGTTAACTCTCCCGGTCAAAGTCAACTTACAGTTGAACTGACTCGCCGAGTTGGGTCGCCATCTCACCGAGTCCCTACTCTCACTTCTCAACCATGTTCGCTGCTACTCGTCGAGTATGACATCAACTCGACGAGTTCCCTTTCGATTCTAGAACTTAGGCTATCTGCATCCGACTCACCGAGGTGTATGAACAACTCGAAGAGTTGTTCTTGAATCTATGAAGATTGCCTTAGACTCGCCGAGTTGTATGAACAACTCGTCGAGTCCCTCCATTACTGAGTCTGACCTCCGGCTCACTGAGTCCATTCTACTACTCACTGGTCCCCACTCGGAATCACTCAAAAGGGGAAAAATCGGGGACTCGCTGCTCGACTCGCCGAGTCTGAAGAACGACTCGCCGAGTCGCATGCATGCAGTTACTAAAAACTCGATTCTGCTTGAATCCAGCGCATATAACTTGTAGATTTGGGCTTCTTATGCACAATTAACACGTAAAGATTCTATCTTTACGTGCCCATAAGCATCCATGAAGATTAAAAGGCTCAAAAGGCATAATAAAGGCTAGATCTAGGGTTCTCATGCAAGGCAACTCGAAAAAGGAAATAGATCAGGGCTCTAAAGCTCCTAAATGAACAGATCTAGGGATATCTCGATCCAACAAGGCATCTATACAAC